GTTAAAGTTAAATGATGAAACGCAAGCAATGTATCTCTGATTTTCTTTTTTATATTATAATAACAAAATTATCGAAAAAAGCAGATTTAAAGCTATCTTATTGTTATGTAAAGCTTTATTATTGCTGTAAGTTCATCTCAAAATCTAATTGTATTGAATCTCATTCTAATCATCTAATAGTAATAGATATTATTAATGAATTTATTGTTATTATTTCATCAAATTAGTCATTGCCATTATTTTGTTAATGAAATTATGTTATTAAAAATCGCATTCCAACCTGCAGGCTTGCAAAGCTAGTTCGTATTTATTATATTTCATAAAATTTTGTTTTCGTTTTCCAGTTTCTAATATGAAAATATGCGAATGTAAATGAAGTGTGAAAACAAAGTTATAAAATTCACAAATTATTGCCAAGATTGATCAGAAATAGTAAATGAAATATAAGCATTGCATACGTTTTGTTCTAAATAGAACTTCATTTAAATGAAAGCAAAATAATCATCGAAAAAGTCACAAATCTAGCAACCCGTCTAATGTGGAACAACGTCCGACATACATGTAAATTTTACTGCATCCATCATGGAGGTAGGAAGTTAGAAGGAGTGGCCCTGAACCAGTTTCCCCATATCCTGCTTTGAAGCACTGGCGATCCCTTTTTTGGTGACCAAAACATTGGGTAATTTACCATTGAGTTCAATGGGTTTTGACACGATCGGATGTAAATATTTTGTAATTACGTCGTAAATATGCATATAAATGTACATATTTTCTTTTTCTACAGTACTTCAGGGTCCTAAGTATATATTAAGAAAACAGTTTTAAACAACATTTCATTCTGAACGGAATTAAATGCTATACTTTTCACAGAACAATTTGCTCAGAATGGTTTAATTTGAAATATTTTCACAAGTTTTCATTAATTACATTAGAAAAAAATTAAAGTAATTCGATTTGATTCGGTTAAGGATTACAAAAATTAAGATCAAAGTTTATTGCATTATTAAAATTATGCATGATTTCTTTTCTATTTATAGAGCTTCTTCCTAAAATGCTTTCTCATGTATGACATAATTTTTTAGCTTCTGAGGCATCTTTTAAATCAAAAACTATAAGTCAATTTATAATTAATGCTCTATTTGGTCCATTTCAAATTAGAGCACCTTTTCATTTAATAGCGAAATTAAATAGTACTTAACTTTCTCTGAATATTTCTGAAGGAGAATAAAATAAGGATTATTTTTTAAATATTATTTAAAACTTGTAACTGAGTTATTATAAAATGTAAGGGGAATAGTTCTTTTAATTATACTTATCAGATTTTTTTACCCTTAATTTCATTAATACATATTCCAAAACTCTTCTTTATTACTTTCTTAAGTACGAATCTCGTAGAAATTGCTTTACAATACCTTTTAACAGATTGCTTTCCAGTACAAACAATTCTTGCTTAACTAGTTTTATAACGTATTTGTCAACAGGATGTCAATTTATGTTTACAATGCAATGTTAAGGTTATTATGTATTTAGATAATTTTTATAATCATTATAAATTTAGATACATTTAATAATTAGATATTTTTCATAGTAACTTTCACAGTTGTTTATGAATGAATAAATCCTTCATTTCAAATACATTTATAAATAATTTAATAAATATTTACGAATTTTGTTAAATGCTGATACATGCTTTTCGCAAGCACATGCATAAATATCATTTTTCAGTCCAGCATGTGGAAATCTTTAATTTCTGTGCATTCACTATATCTTTCGAGTAAAGTAATTTACACTAATTTTAAAAAAGTACATGTTACAATAATATGTGGATGTGAAAAAAATATATTTTATTTAAAAGATTTTGGCGTTTGGAACATAAAATAAAAGTAGAGAATACTCTATCAGAAAGATATGTACAATTTTAAAGGTATGGTGAGGTATTTTTCATTCTTTAAGCATAACGTTTTTGCTAAAATCTATATTTTTGTAGTTCAACAGCTTAGAATTTTATAAAACTAATTCATAATCAAATTCACTGTTGTTAGTTATCGAAAAATAACCAAGATGTGATTTTTGCGTAAATGTCACTAAACTATACAAATTGCTATTATCCATCACACTAGAAATTTTTCTTTTATGCAGAAGTGTCCCATTTTTTGATTTGTATGGAACTGTCGTGTGTCGAAATATTATCAGAGTGCTGTCAAGCGAGCTTCTGAATGTAAACAAAGAACACCCCATCTGGTGACCGAAGTTTCGGAGTGATGCTTCACTTCTAATGCCGGATTGGCCACTCCTTCCTTTCTTACCTCCATGGCACTCCATGGAGGGGACTAACGACTTTTCTCGTTAGGAAAATGTCAAAGAGGGGGCAAAAGTGTTTTGGATCACGCTGGTCTGACTGCTATATTATGAGAATTTTGATCCAGTTTTAGAAGATTAAAGGGTTAATTGCCTAAATTATTCTTAGGCCTCCTCCTTCAGCATCTTGTATTTTTATTTTTTTTTATTTATTTATTATTTTATTTATTATTTTTTTTTTTTTTTTATCTGTTACATTAATTTGCTGTAAGGTCAATCACTTTGAGGTTTTAACTGTTAACATTCAAACAAACTGCACATATTGTATAGATCAAGAATGAACATTATGTGGCCGTTATGCAAATGAAATGTATGTATGAAATATGGTAGACTTAAACTATCCATTGTCCAAAAGAAAAGGATTAATTTATTTAATTTATTTTTATAAAGTTATCAAATGTTTCTTTCCATCTGAAACCTGTTTCATTACTTTCAACATGATGTAAGTATGGACTTGCATCTTTTGGAAAATCTAGTTCCAGCTCTTAAATTTTCCTGAATTCCAACATGTGGCTCTAACTGACATAAAGTTTAACTTCCCCTCCTATGTATATTGTTTAAACTATGTTTGTATTTTAAATTTAGCATTGATTCATCTTATTGATACAATTTATATATATATATATATATATATATATATATAATATAATTATTTAAGACTGCACTTAAAAATGTATAATATTATATAATTGCCAAAATAAGTTGCAGAAATATAGAATTCCTTGAAAGCTTTCAGTGCTTCTTAATGTTTTTATTTCTTTATCTGAATAAATATACTATCCAAAAAATATTGCAGCAACATAAAGGAATGGTATAATTGGATTTTAACTCGCAGACAATGATAGAAAATAAAATTATTGCCTTTTGTGAAACTAATTTATTATACAGAAAAAAGTAGTAGTACAGTTAGTATTTGTTGAAATCTTAGCATTGTTTAAAGAGCATTATTGCAGTACAGATTATGATTCACAAAAGAAGAAGTATGCCATACCTGAGGTATGTCACTGAATTAAAAGTTTGTCACTGTATCAAAACTGACTTCATTGCACTAATATATTATAGCTGTAATTATCAAACTGTGTGATGTATGCCCTCAAAAAATTTCTGTGGGAAGCTATCAAGGGAAGTTCGACAAAATGGCATGAGAACCAAATATGATGAGAAAATGTCTGCTTTGATGAAAAAAATTTCTGTTTTGCGCTGTTATTTTTTAGATGCGTATTTTGTTATATTTTTATTTAGAACTTGAATTTTCTGCTGTAATGTTTTTAAAGTATTAAATTTAACCACAACAGTTTAGTTTTTGAATTCAGTAAATAGCAGATTTGAGTAAAGCAAACTATTGATTTTCTTTATACTTTTTTCTTTCATAAATAGCTCTGCATCATTATTATCTGTTAAATGTGTTAAAAAAAACAGCTGTGAATTTCCATGGAATTTATTCTCGATTCAATTGGTTTGCTACACAAATGATAAATTTTTGAAGTCAAACCAAAAAATGAAACTGCCACTAGTGAAAAAAAAAGCATTATTTGGGTCTATTCAAGATGAATTTCCTTAACTTATTAGATAAACCAGCAGTAAGATAGCCTAACCCTGAACTGTTATATTTAGAATGTTCTATGGAAAAAGTTAGTGGAAGCGTACTTCTTGATGCATTAGTTGTAATGAGAGTCTTATAACAATTTATTAAATTTGTCTTTTATTCCCCAAAATATCAGTTTTCTTGTCATTAATTTATTCCAGAATACATGAATTTAAAAATTTAATTTCTGAACACTAGAATCTAAAAACTGAATTTATCTCATTAGAAATATATCTTCAGAAAGTGAGACACAGTATAACTACAATGGGTTTATCTCAACCAGGTTTGCGCGATTTGTAAGTTTGAGTAAAAAAGTATGAATAGAAAGAAAATGTACATTTATTAATTACAGATAATTTTTAATACAGTTTTTTATATTATTTTGTTTACCCTACTTACGGCGACCTTATGTTAATTTATTAAAGCAAGGTGTGCGTAGTTCGTAGATTCGTTCGTTGCCTACATTGTGCCATTCGTAGATGTTTTTTTAAGTTAAAACATTTCGCTGTGTACATGGATTCTTGTCAGATATTTTTGGTTAGAAATTTTACATTTTTGCTATCTAAATTTTTTGTTTTTGTTTCGGATTTTTAGCTTAAATCGTGTGTTCAAAACGTAGTTTTTGCATGTGCGAAAACCGCGTTTTTGGAGACATTTTAGGCTTAAAGTTCGAAATATAGACAAGAATCCATGTACACAGCGACATGTTTTAACTTAAAAAAACATCTAGAATGGCACAATGTAGGTAACGAATGAATCTACGAACTACGCACACCTCGCTTTAATAAATTAACATAAGGGTGCCGTAATAGGGTCGCCAAATTTGGCGATTTATGTGAATTTTGGCCTGGTTGTCTTAATACGTAAGTACCCTACAATGTAACAGAAAAAAATCTATCATAGCTATCTGCATTATATTGGAGTTTATTTAGAAACTTGAGAAGGACTTGCTATATAAAATCTGAAATGTAAGCAGATGTGAATAAAAAAGGTTTGATTTGTAGGAAAATTATTAATGGCATTAATTTTTTGTTGATTTTTCCTTCTTTCTATTTAGGGTTATCATATTGGAATACCTCAGCTTGAAGATACAGGGATGAAACTCTGTCAGAGCTTTGGGAAATTAGTATTAAACCCCAAAACTAACACAATATGGAGTTCCTTTCCTATAGATCTGAAATCTTTTCCCATTCCAAGGTTTGTGGAATTCAAAATTTTTAATTATGTTTATATTGCTTTGAAACTTAATGAAAAATATGTATCAATTCGATTTGTTTGTAGTTTTAGAATACAACAAGATCTTGCAGCAGGATTTTACTTATTATAGCATTTTGATTCCTTCTTTTTCTTTGAATGACATTTTTTAATGTAACATAAGCATCGCATTTCATTTATTTTCATCACTATTGCTTTTCCCATGAGTGAAGTTTCTTTGCTAACTAGTTTTTCAAACAACAATTTGATGAGGTGTCAGGGAGCGGAGAGTGACTTTTGTTGTCTCACGCTCCCATCAATTAATGTGTGCATTCCTTTTTTTCCTGCTTTTTCAAAAATTTAATGTGATAAAATAATGTGTGGGAATATAAATTAGTTCTTTTTTGTAATACCATGAATACTTTAGAACAGCAAAAACAATTTAATAAATGTAAAAGTTTCGATTAAGCATAATTATGATTCGAGAGATGACACAGCATGTGAGAAAAGCAGTTGTCATTAAGATATTGCTTGTAGAATAAACGTTGATGAAGTGAAATTTGTGTGTGTGCTGGATACAAATAGCATGTCTATAACAGCATGAGCGTCAATTCTTGATTAATTCCAGTAGAATTGTCTTTATGAGGAGCATTTGTTTTGATTTTAAAAGATCTAGTGATGCTATGAAGTACAGATGGCTGATATGTAGTTTTGGACAAGATCATCGGTATGTTTATTGTCATTTTCCCCTAATTAGCTGTTTAGATGGTATAGTGGTTAAGAGAGACTACTGTGAACCAAAGGGTTAGGGCTCAAATTCTGGAGAAGTCATGATTGTAATTTCCCATCTCTTCATAGGAGGTAACAGTGACCTACCTATAAGGCACTTCCATAATAAAGTGGCCATCACTTTCGGCTTAGTAGTGACTAAGCCTAACTTGGCTAAGTACCTGCCAGTGGGAAAAATAAATTCCCTAATTCAACACAGTCAGACTCTTATGAAGAACTATGCAAATAAAATATGATACTCTTTTTTTTTTTTTTTTAATTTTATGTAATGATTTACCAAAATGTTATTAGTGGTGATGGTAAAAAATAAAGTATTTCATGTGTGAATTTCATATTTTTTGTATTACATGCAACAAAAGGTAAGTAAGTAATTTTCTGATTTAATCTTAGAACTAATTGGGTAATTTGAGAATCCATTGTGGCATTATTCAGTCAAAAAGAAAATTCGTACTTTTTCTACAAAAGGTAGCTTTCTAAGGGCTTTTAAGTGAAAGTTAGTTTGACATTCATATTACTGCTTATTATTGAGAACCTACAATGCTGTTATTCTTTCTCAACATTGTTCCTTCTTTTCAGCAGACTTCTGTTTTCATATTAAATGCATCATTTTGTTGTATTTATTTAAAAGAGGTAAAGAAATCCATTATAAATGAATAATTCTGTAACGTTTTTTTTTAACTGTCAATCATTTAAATGCCTATCCCCTCTCCCTTCAGGAGAGTGATTTTGATTGTATTAAGAGACATTTTATTCATGGAAATTCATAAATTCCTGTATTATTAATTAATTTATTTTTAGCCATTCAAGATTCCCTTTAAAAAATTATCAAAATTCTTTTTAAAAAAATACTGGGGGGGATTTTTACCCCTCATAAAAAATGATGCAAAATAAAATATTTTTTATTGTTGAAAAACCAGTAATGTATGTTTTATGAATATTGATACTGTTTATTAAGTCATATTGGTGTAAACAGTTGGTTGATTTATCTGCACACGATTCATCTACAGAGTTTTAGGTTTAAGTTCATACAAAATCAAAATTTGAAGAAAGCATTCTAACTTCTTAACCGTATTCTTAATGCTTGGCACATTCATACAGTTGCTTTGGTTCCTTTGTAAAAGTTATCTTTAGAATGCTGTTTAAGTTTGTGGGTACAGATTGCTGGATCTTCTTAATGCTGTGAAAAGTTATGACCTTAGGTAAAGAAATTGTGTGATGAATAATGTCATGCAGTAGAAAACTGTTATTCATTTGAGCTTTTTTATGCTTAAAGTGTTGAATTCTCTTCAAAAGTCTGTGCTTTACATTTTCAAACTTTGCGTTTACATTTACATTTACTGCCATAGATTCCAGAAGACCTTAGATTTCAGAAATACAAGTGTTTATGGCTGTTGTGAAATTTCATTTTAATCTCAGAATCATAAGTGCCACTGCCAATCATGAGTTGTATAAAATATTTTGCTATTTTTCCCACTTTATTGTGAAACTCTGTTGCTATTCATTTGGCTGCTTTTAAATCCACTGGATAAAAGCAATGGTTTACTGTATAGATAATTCTTTTCATAAACTGATGATATTTTAGGAGAAGCAAATGGGGACGTCACAGAATTATCATTTGGCAAGTTTGCTGGAATTTAAAAATAAAAAAAAAATATAAAAAAAAAAAAAAAGAAGAAGAAGAAGAAGAAGAAGAAATTATATCTAAACCTTCAAAAATGTACTGTGTATGTCCTGTGTTTGAACACAAAATTCTGCAAATAGAAAAATTATCATTTTGCTTTGACATGAATTTTGTGCAAATTATTAAATTTTTAACATTTCCAAATGCAAAGTTACTTAGTCTCGTTCTTAATAAATACTTATCTGCTTAAATATTTAACTAATAAATAACCTGAAGTCATTTTAAAAAGTGCCATTCTATGCTAAATTTTGATTCTTCTACCTACTGAGCAGCTTGCAATTAAACAGAGAGAATGGTGATATTGCTATTATTATACGATCTCTTAATAATGTTTTTTGATATTTTTATTACCATACTTTGAAGTACTTTTAAAAAGATTTTTTTTCTTTAGATTTTTATGATCTTGGAGAAATCTTAGTGAAAGAAGTAACTGAAGCATGTTAATAGCTTCTCGTCTCTTTCGTTAAATTATTCAATAGATTATAGCTAACACATGAAAGATCATTTGCTGTAGTCTTGAATAAGTATTTTAATGTGCTGTTTGCCATCAATAAATTAGAATTTGGTATTTACTTAATACTTCTATTAAAATTTTACTTGCTTTTAAGCATTCTGCTTTTATATGAAATAAGTTATGTTCTATTAACAAGGTAAGCTTTTCTTAAACCACTGTATGTTTAAGTTCAAATCGATCATCGATTTTGTTATCCTATATTTGTTGAAACTTTCATCCGCAGTCATCAATAGCGTTCCATTATGTTTAGAAAATTAAAATATAACAAATTACAAGTGCTGTTGGTTGTTCTACACTACCAATAGCTTGAATAATAGCACAGTTTTTTAAAGTTTTTGTAATAAATGTTATTATTTATGTGTATTTTTGTATTTTAATAATAAATCTTTGTTTATCAGAATGTTCATCATCAGTGTTTCAAATTCTCAATCCAAAAAATTATTTGAAGGGGCTGTTGCATGCTTGTTTGCATACACGCATGTGTGTAAAATGTTTCTGTTATTCCCATATGAACAAAATTATTGCAACATATCTGTAAATTTTTGATAATGTTCTTGTTTTTACTATATTATTTGATCACTGCTCGAATATGTCAAAAAGGATGTGTATCTGCAATTCCATTGAATATTACAGAAGTCAGTAGGCACAAAACAGTATCAACAGTTAAAAACTTTCACTGTTTCAGTAGTTTTATTGGCCTGGTATTAGTGTCGAAAGTTTTCTGTAAGCAGTATTATTCATGCATTAGCTTTTGTGTTGGATCAAAATTTTTATTAATTAGTGTGTTTTCAGTTAGAAGCATTAAGATAATTATTCTTTGGTTATTTTTAGATATAAACAAAATTAGTGTGTTTAAGAACTTGGAATGTTTTGTTAAATCATTGGATCTAAGATTTGTCATTTCATGGTGACCATGTGTATTTATTATAAAAAGTTTTAACATTTTTATGTAAATTTATTTCCCTTGAATTAAGAAGAAGTACTGTGATATATTTGTGACATATGTGATTTATGAAATCATGTATTGCTATTTGCTTCTGATGATAGGCAACATACTAATTGATTATTAAATTGTAATAAGTTAATATAATATTCTTTGAGAGTTCTGACTTTAAGTGTCTCTTTCAGTACTGAAAAAATTGTGAGATCCAAGTTATGTACTTCTTCAACATCGACTGAAACCGATGAGGATTTTGAAGATTGTGAAGCTGAAGAGCAATTAACATGATCATTATTTAGCTTGAAAATGCTTTATAGTGAGCAAGTTTAGTCAGCTAGGAAGTTAAGGAGTTTGTAACAATTCTAAAGATGTAAAGAATAGTTAAGAAATAAAGTCTGAAATGTTAACGGAACTAAAAGAAATGACTCATCTTCTTTAGCAATGTACATTAAATTGTTTTTATATTAAATAAATCATGTTCATTTGTCTCATGCATCATGCAAATTTTGTGTATTTTTCATAAACATAATTATTAATTATATGGCTTAGCTTGCTGCATATTAATTATTTGCAGTCATTTGATCAATTATCATGTTGTGACTGAAAAACAATATGGATAATAGTATTTCACTTGTATAATAATTTAAGAAATTTGTAATCAATAAATAAGTTCATCTGAAATTTAAAGAGCTTTCGGTTTGTCTTTTAAACTCAACAAAAGAAACCTCTTTGAATTAAATATTGTTTGCATCCTTGCAAAATATAATGCCATTTGACAGAAATATTTGATGCAGGCTTGATGTTCAAGTGATCCGATCAAACAAGTACACAGCTACATCTGAGTAATTAAGTCTTTTCTTTGTTAAGTAAATATACAAGTCTCCATATGGCATAAATTTACTCTGAAATAATGCCATATCAAATCTATTCTCCTACTATTTTGCTTCTATTTTGAACATCTTGTTTTAAATATAAGATTATTTTGTGTTCTGTATATTTGATATCTGGAAGGACTAAATTTAAACTAGTAGGCTTATCTTAAATGCTTATTAAATTAATGTAAAATTGCTTCAGATGTTAAAGTGAAATCTTAATACCAGGATCAGATTACAGCTTCTTTTTAATCTCATGATTTTTAAATATGTGTATATATTTAATGTTTTGAAACTTTAAATTGTTTGAGGTGTTAGGCTATAATCTGAAATTTTTATTTTGTTCCCCTTCCCACTTTGAAAAGATTTATCGAATTCTGTTAAACTGAGTTTCTCTTATTATTAGTTGAGGAGAATCCCTTTTAACTGGGAGGATTGAGGCTGCCGATTCCAGATAACTGATTGTATTTTCTGCAACTTACTCAGGGGCGTAGCTAGAGTTTCTAGTGCCCGGGGACAACTGAAGAATTTGCGCCCCTTTCTGTGTGCCAAGAATGGAAAACATTTCCTTAAAAATTTCGTAGAATCAATTTGGCGCCTCTTGGATACTGCGCCCGGGGACAGATGTCCCCTCTTGCTCCACCCTAGCTACGCCACTGAACTTACTTGTTCATGTTTTTTTATCTATTGTCCACAATTAAATAAGTAATATCAAAATTTAGAACTATTAATTTTATTTTTGTATTATTTAAAAATTCTTTGATAAATAAAAGCTCTTCTTCCCTGTTCAGGATTAAAAATATAAGAAAATTATATAATAAAATTAACTAAAGAACATAAAATTTAGAACAACTAATTAAATTAATGTATTTAATGTATGTATGTTAACATAATGCTAACATCAAATAAAGCTAATGTATGTTACATCAGAATCAAATTACAAATAGTTCAGTAATCTAAATCATATATTTTAGAATCAGTCTGGAGTTCTTTTGACATGGTATTGCAATGTGTAGGGAATATATCCTAGAAACTCTGTGTTTTACATATATATGGATTGGCAGGTATGATAGCAGTCTGCTGAGTATATTTTTGTGAGATGCCTAGAAGCCATTGCATTGATTATTTACCACAATAAGAGATATTTATTAAGCTAATGTGACCCAATTTTGACAGGCCATAAAGGAAAAAATACTGTGGTAAATTCAGCGGAAGAGTGTTGATTTTGCATGATAATGCACCCTCACATCTTTAATTTCTCATACTGTCATTCAGCAATATGAGTAATATATTTATTTGTACATACCCATATCACATCTTAGAATACAGATCTCAAAAATTTCATCAGCTATTGTATGTAACTGTATGTGTGTGAATTGAACATGGAATATTTAATAATAATTATTAGCCCTTCTTTCACTTTGTCAGTAGTGTCAATTCAGCACATTTTCATTGTTTATAACAACAAAAATAAGTTATTATTCAGTGCCATTAATATATATTGAAATTTATTCAGTGAGATCATATTGTTTCATAAGATTTTCTGCAATTACAAGCCTCAAAATTTCAGCTGTTCCAGCATAGATTTCTGTTATGCGAGCATCTCTGTAGTGGCGTTCGGCTGGCATGTCTGAAACATATCCCATTCCTCCTAATATCTGTACAGCCTTAACATGAAAAAAAAAAATATGTATCCATAAGTAAATATTCCTAAAATGTAAATCTATGCTCAGAAATATTTTTGCTCAGAAGTTTCTTAATCACTACACAAATAATATATTTTTCTAAGTAACCCTCTGAATTTTATTACACATGTTCATTCAACCAAAAAGTATAGAAATTTAAATTAACATCTGCGGTGACTTTCATACGAGATGCCTGATCTGCATTAAAAAAAAATGCTTGGAATTTTTTAGAAAATTAAATTAACACACTTTAGAAAATATACTCATGCATATAAATAAAGCTTTAAAAGGCATTTCTGAATAATACACGCATGAGTGTATTATTAACATCTGCGGTGACTTTCATATGAGATGCCTGATCAGCATTAAAAAAAATGCTTGAAATTTTTTAGAATATTAAATTAACACACTTTAGAAAATATACTCATGCATATAAATAAAGCTTTAAAAGGCATTTCTGAATAATATATTATCCACGAAGAAATTAAAAGCATAATTTAAGTTTTATGCTAAAACAGCAAATTGCATTTTAGTTGTGATTTACATTTTGGCTCAGAATTAATTTTTTTTATAATATACCAATTTTTATTGATTTTTTCCCGTCATTTGATTATACCCCCCCCTCCAAGAAAAAGGAAGTTTGGGCTTTGATAGTATATTTTTCTCTTTAATACTAAACACAGGAGTAAATTAATACAGGAGTGGTCGTAAAAATACATCCCCAGTATATGAACCCCTACCGGCCGATCTGTTCAACCAATCGAAATTATGAAAACCAATGAAATTTCAGATATTGTTATTCGAAGGTATACACTCGAAATTGTGGTAATTTACAGCAACAGAGCACTTACAGTTGCAGTGAAAAAAATTTCGAATGGCAACACCAACTTTTTCCTCTGCAGATTAATCAGGGCATCAAAAAACCGTTAATGACATTGGAATGATATACTTATGACAAAAACTGCTCGTATAAAATATTTGCAAAGAGCATCATAAAGGGCAGTGGCAACACAGAAGAGGGGAGAGAACTTTTTATTGGAATTATAAATTTGCAACAACCTTCATAGGCCATAACACATTGCATGTGGGAGATTGATGACAACAATGATGAACATAACATCACCCTGCAGTTTTATAGCATCTTTCAATTCTCGTAGCTTTGATGTGTACATTTTAGATTTCAGATAACCTCAGAAACAGAAATCTGTCGGGGTATTGCGATGGCATCAAAACTTCAAAGTTACAAGAGGTGGCTTTATTCTTGAAACGTTGTACACATTGAAAACTTGTAATTCTAATACTTTTCAACCCTCTTCTGTCCTGTGTTGTCGTTGTCCTTTACAATGCTCTTTGCAAATGTTTTACGCCGGCAGTTTTCCTCATGCGTGTATCTTTCCAATGCAATTTATGGTTTTTAATGCACTGATCAATTTGTGCAGGAAAAAAATGCCATTCGAAAATTTCAAAGTTTTTTTTTTACTGTAACCATAGCTCTATTGTTTTAAATCTCCACAATCTCAAGCATATACCTTCAAATAAGAGCATCTGAAATTTTATTTCGATTGGTTCAGTGGATAGGCTGCTAGGGATTCATACATCAGAGAAGTTTTTTTATGACCACCCTGTATACACTAAATAAATCTTCCGAAATTAGAATTACATTTTAGAAGCCTAAAAGCACTTAAAAGATTTTGATCCTCCACATACAATTATGCCTCTTTTCCCCCTTCCCCACCCCATTCTGTCTCTCGATCTTGGTTTAGCTGCACTATACATTCCATGGTAAAACCAAGCGGAAAAATTTTAGGATGCTCTAAACATGTACTTATTTTCTTTAATGGTTAATCTGCCTCTGAATCAAAGTCATAATTCATTTCGGTGTAAGTATTTCTTTTGTGTGCTACCCTGATTGGTTAGCATTGTCGGCTGCCTTATTCTTGGCTTGGATTCAAATCCCATTGAAGACGTGGATGTTTCTAACAAACTCAGTGTCGCCTTCCTCATGTTGGACGTGGCCAAAGCTTTTGACCGCGTCTGGCATGAGGGACTTATTTACAAACTCATACAGCAACGGATTCCTCGAGAGTTAGTTCTCATCTTAAAATCTTTCCTTGATCACAGAACCTTCTCGGTCAAGCAAGGTGATTACACCTCGGGCTCCTACCCCATCAGAGGAGGAATAGCACAAGGTAGCATCCTTGGACCAATTCTTTACTTAATTTATGCACATGATTTCCCGAACTTCAACACAGACCACAATTTCCTCCTTGCCTGTTATGCGGACGACACGGCACTGATCCAAAGATCACGCCGCCCAAACCAGGCCATCATCAAACTCCAAGAAAAAAAATGTCTGCAGTTGAAACATGGTGCACCAAATGGAGAATCAACATTAACCCTGAAAAATCTGAAATCTTACTGATTAGAAAATATAAACATAAAGACAGAATCACCAGCTCTGTTTCCCTTTTCGGCCAACAAATCCCCATCGTAAATAAGGCTAAATACCTTGGCATTATCTTCAATAGAACCTTCACCTGGTCAAACCACATAAATGAAATCAAAAGGAAAACTTTCGGCATCATCAGAAAACTCAACTGTCTCCTATCAAATTCTTCAGGCCTCACTCTCGCAAGAAAAAAGAAAATCTACATTTCAATAATCCGTCCCATGCTCACGTACGCTTCGCCAGTATGGGCGAATGCAAAAAGTTCGGAAATAGATAAACTTCAAATTGTCCAAAATAAGTTTCTCCGTTTAATTAACGGAGCTCCCTTTTTCATAAGAAATAAAAACCTTCACCACGATCTACACATCGCATACATACAGGATTATATCAAGAAGTTAAATGCAAACTTCTTCAGAAAAGCTATGGCAAATACCCATGCAAACTTTTCAAACATCCTCGACTATGAAATATTCGAAGATGATTATTTCACTCGACCGTATGCTGCACACATCATTAACATGATCAATGCAGACATCTAACCCCACTCTTATTCACAGGAAATCACCCCGTCAACCACGAAAATATTCCATTTCCCACCTGTTTTACATGCAGAACGCATAGCCCTGTGGTAAAGCACGCAGCTACTGACTAGGAGATCCGCAGTTCGATACCCAGCCGTAAAATGTTTTGCGAAACTTAAGCAAATTTCCTTGCATTGCACGCACATTGTAAGGATCCGCATAAAATTAAAAATATTTTTATGCCACTAATTAAACATTCAACTGCAATAAATTCAACAAAATAAAAATTATTTAAATCTCGTGCAGAATGATCTCTGACTCTGTCACCACATTCACCGCCACCAGATGGCGGCACATGCTGAAATCCACATCACTTTCTTCTCTCCCTAGCATCCTCTCAAGACTTCCTGCTTCAGGATCTACTTGATTTTCCATTAATGCCAGGTTCCCTCGGGATCTCTTTCATGCTACTGGGAAGTACTGCCCCAGTGCAGTAGAAGCCCAGTATCAAACAAATTAAGTATCTAAGTATCTATTTTTCTAAAGGCAAAGTGCCTTTGCAGCATGGAGGCACTTAAAATACTGCCGAGCCAAAAGTCCTATCAAGAAATTGATGATAGGTGAAGAGAAATTGAATATTCTTAGATCCATCCCTTGGGAGTTATTAAAACTGAACGCAGCTGAGTAAATTTACTGTGTTACCTGTGACATACCAAGGCCATAACCAATAACAAGCATAGCCCTTTCCCCCTTCATCTACATAGGATTGTAAATTTGATCTCTATTTTATTTAAATCAGAAGGATCACTAATTACAAAATTTCTCTGGTGTTGTAATGTAGCTTAAAATATCCATACGGTTTGGACCTTGATAATTTGCTAAGAAAGAATTTTTTAATAGCATTGCTTTTACCTCTACGAATATAGCTTTCTCCCACCTATATGAAAAAACAGTGTGCTTGTGAAAATGTTTGGAAACCGAAATGGCTGAAAGCAAAGAAGCGATCACTAGTATTAATTTATATAGGAAAATGATGCCTTATCAAATAACATCACACCACTTTTTAAAAACCTAAAATAACAGTAAAAGAAAATTTATATAATAAATAAGCAGACCATGTATAGAAATAGCGTGATTTAGATTAATTTCACCATCTAAAATTAAAAAGCGGGAGAAATTTTAAAACAGTTAAACGAACTCACTGAAGATCTGGTAGTTGTATATGTAAGACCTATGCAGCAGAGGGAACACAAATTATATATTATTATCTCTCTATCATTTGTATGCACCAAATCACTGAGCCTGCAGTGTTTTTATACAGTGTCGAAATTTGCTGTATCCGGAATTGAAATTGGTAGTATACAAGTTGATTTGAAAGCTTGAAATAAGATTCACTTTTCCAATGCAAAGTGACGAGCACAGACGAAGCACAAAATTCTATCATCATAATATCTCTCAGATTGGATATCAGTTATTAAATTCGATATCGGGCGCAGAAGATTCTACAGTCATCATGCTGATGTCAAAAGCCTCAGAATTTAAATGAAGGCAAGAATGTTGGTAAATTTTTAGTAACATAAGAATTCTTAAAATCCACCAATCTGAAAATCCCTTGTGAGGTTGACTGTAGGACGAAAAGTGCACGAGACTTTTGATTATGTTCCTAAGAGTGTTTGTTATCAATCGAAGTTGAAATGGATCTACGTAAAACTCATACTGTTACCTTCAAAACGAGTCTCACATCTATGGATACCTACAACGGCACTTCGAAAGAAACATTTCCCAGAATTTTTGTTTTCAGAATAACTGATTACAATACTTATGCGAAGACCAGTTCTTTGGAGAAATTGTTTAAGGGCTTCAACGGAAACATTTTCAGTTCAGTTTCGAAAAGTAGCTAACTGGGACACCAGTTCCAACGAAACATATTTTGGCTAGGAACCCTCCAGTAGTAGGTGAAGGTGAAGCTCGTTTCTAGAAAAAGTTTCTTCTGGCCTTTTGCAACATTAAAT